ACGAACAACGAACCGATCGAAAAGTTTCGTTTCATTGGCGTACAACGAACCAATTAAGAAGTTCTTTCGACTGGTAAGATCGCAAAGTGATCTGCGAGCTCGCCGAACGTTTTGTTCGAGTCTTCCTTCCGAAGGGGCACCGTTTTCAAACCGGAAAAACTCAGCGGGCAAGAGCCGCATTCGCGCGCAGGCTTTCTGGCAAAGCGAAGCATCGAGATTTTACTTTGGAAAATCCGCAGGAGACGACTTGCCGAATCCAGATCGTCCACGCAAACTATTGATTTTAAGGTGCTCTCGCACTTAAGCGCGTCGGAAACCGGAGAACCGTAGCATAACACCCTTTCGAAGCTCACGGATTCATCCGCGCTCCGTCGATACATGTACGTACACGNACCAGCGAGATCGATAGCTTCCAATCACTCGATCCTCTTCGTTAGAATCGTTTTATACCTGGTCGAACATTCTCGAAATCGTTCTCTGCACAGACCTCGCTCGATCTTCGCAGTCCAGCGACGACGAGAAGTCGTCTAGTAATTATTCTCACGTCATTCTACGTCGATCCTTAGCATTGTCGAAGCAGTAAATCACGTAGGCGCAGGACTAGCACAGAGAAATTCACGGCAACCCGAAATTTGGCATTTCCGGGAGAAATTACTGTACATTGCGATGAAGCCTGCTTCAGCGGAACTGTGAAGAATGCGAGCAGAGGACTCGAAGGACACGCACGATGCACCATTGCAACATTGAGATACATTCGATCAACTGTTACAAAACGCCAAAAGACGGGATACCGTGTCCTCTTCGAGGCTAAAATCATAGAACAAAAGCATACGTCGAATATAATGAAACACCCCGGCAACATCGATAACGACACCCAATCCGGAGCACGCTGCACCTAGTTCCCTAATTGTTCAGCTGACCAATTAAGAAGCGCTTTCGATCGACGAACAACGGAGCCGATAGAAAAGTCCTTTTGACCAACGAACAACGAACCGATCGAAAAGTTTCGTTTCATTGGCGTACAACGAACCAATTAAGAAGTTCTTTCGACTGGTAAGATCGCAAAGTGATCTGCGAGCTCGCCGAACGTTTTGTTCGAGTCTTCCTTCCGAAGGGGCACCGTTTTCAAACCGGAAAAACTCAGCGGGCAAGAGCCGCATTCGCGCGCAGGCTTTCTGGCAAAGCGAAGCATCGAGATTTTACTTTGGAAAATCCGCAGGAGACGACTTGCCGAATCCAGATCGTCCACGCAAACTATTGATTTTAAGGTGCTCTCGCACTTAAGCGCGTCGGAAACCGGAGAACCGTAGCATAACACCCTTTCGAAGCTCACGGATTCATCCGCGCTCCGTCGATACATGTACGTACACGGCTTGTCTTCGTCTCCCTCTCTCTTTCTCTCTCTCTTTTTCTCTGTCTCTCTCCGCCGGTCTCTTTGGCCCTCTCGGCCGGCTCTGCGGTCGTTTTGCCGTCGCTGTGTGTCGATGCATTGATCGCATTACACGGCATTAAGGTATCGGTAAGCCTCTCGTTGCGTCCGGCTCTCGAACGGCTCTAGCCGAGTCTTACACGATACTTAAGCTTGTTCGCAGCGCGCGATGCGTCGACGGCCGCTCCGCGCCGCACCGCTCCGCTCGGTTCCCCGTTCCGGCGTTTCTCCGTTAATCGTCGGGATGATTAGCGTGACCGTGTAATCCGTCGGCGAAACGTTGGACCACGATCGAGACGGACGCCGGTCGTTCAGATGCGAAAAAACGTCCGTCGAAAGTCGCATTCCACGATCGCGAGCCTTCGAACGGGCTGCTCTGCTCGCGGCAGTAAAGATCGGCTTAGCGTGTTCAGGGTTAGACAAAGAAACGAGCAGGTCGACGATGATGGTTCGATCTCGCGGAAAGGCGAGATCAGCTCGCGAGGAGTTCTCTATGTAGAACGGGACGGCACCGGCCATTCTTTCCGCCGATTACCGGCGGTCTCGACGCGATATAATCGATCTAATGACACGTCGCGCGGCCGAGGTCGCGGCGAATCTCGACCGGCCGATCGAACGCGATACCCGGAACGCCTGTAATTTGCCGGAGGTGTAAATTGGCTCGATTACGGGCTACGTTTCACGGGATTTCCCCTTTCTCGATCCGAGCGCGACAAGGTTTGTTCGGGCCTCGCTCGAGCGCCAGCAAACAGAACGGCCGAACTATCGCCTGGCAGCAGCCGAGGGGCGTTTATGCGCCGCGCCGGCATTTTTCGTAGACTATGCCAGCATGATCTACGATCGAAATGCTTAAAAGTTGGTTAATTTTTGGTCGATTCGGATGGCAGAGACGGTGGTTTCTCGTTTTGTCCAGAGAATACTGCAATGAAGATTGTAGAACGATTTTCTTCGACGCCGAAGACGCATCTTTGGATGATCATGAACGCTGGAAGAGCAAAAATGAGTGCTGGAATTGCGATAAAAAGTTGTAATAAAGCTTCTTTTTTCACGAAAGATTTGTGTGATTTTATAGAAAAAGTCGAGTCGCGGCGATGTACGCAAAGACGACCGAGCGAAACATTTTCAAACGAAATGAAACGCGAAAATGGCAGAAATGTGCTGAGAAATGCGATAAAAAGTTGAAACAAAGCTCCTTTTTTCACGCGAGATTTACGTAATTTTATAGAAAAAGTCGCGAATCGCAGCAATATACGCAAAGTCGACCAAGCGAAACGTCTTCGAACAAAAATGAACGCTGAAAGGGCAAAAAGAAGTGCTGAAAGTTGCGATAAAAAGTTGAAACGAAACTTCTTTTTCCACGCGAGATCTTAATTTTATAAAAAAACAGTCGAGAATCGCGGCGATATACGCAAAATCGACCAAGCGAAACGTCTCCAAACGAAATGAAACGCGAAAATGGCGAAAATAAATGCTGGAAGTTGCGATAAAAAGTTGCAACATAGCCCTTTTTTTCACGCGAGATCTACGTAATTTTATAGAAAAAGAGTCGAGAATCGCAGCGATATACGCAAAGTCGACCAAGCGGAACGAACTATAGCGCAAAAATGGCGAAAATAAAATGCTGCATATTGCGGTAAAAAGTTTAAACAAAACCCTGTCTCGCGTGAAAAAATCTCGAATCGCGGCAATATATGCGAAAATATATGCCAAGACCAAACGAAACGTCTTCGAGCGGAGGTAATCTTTTAAAAACAGCAATAAGAAGCAACGTTGAAGCTATTTTACACAGCCGACGAATCTCTCGAAGGAAGTCACGCGGTTTCTCGCGGTTTCTCGCGGTTTCTCCGACGCCACTGTCTAGGCCACCGCCGAAAGTTCGACGAGGCTCGGTACTCTTGTTCCACGAGCCTCGTTCAGGGCCGATCTTTTCCGCTTCTCGCCTCCCGTTCGCGTCCACGGTCCACTAAATTGGCTCGGGATTGGCCGGCGCGCCGGCGAACAGAGCAATTCTCGGCGGAAAGTTCGTGCGGACGGGAGGGATCCGATGGGAACGTGCAGCGCCGCCGCGCGTTTCAAAGAGGAGGCGAAGCGTAAACGATAACGAACCGTTCCGCGGTGGAAATATTTAACGCAACCGAAGCGTCGTAAAGTTTTACTGCGAGCATGAGCCCCGGCCCGGCATTAAACCGAGAAATTCGCGAGCATTAACGGGCCCGTTCCCGCGCGAACGAGTTCCCGCCGCCATTTTTCCACCCCTTTTACCTTATACTTAGCCGTGCGTCCCCGCACGGCAAACCGGGAAACGATTCGAGCGCATTAAAACGGAACGAGGCGCATAGATAACGTGTGCAACACGCTTGCGCTCGGGCAAATGGCGGGCCACAGTAGAATCGGCCGCGATGGTCAGACCCATGGACTCGTCTAGCGCAGACGTCGGCGACCTGTGACCCCCTGGTCACCGAGCGACCCGTTTCATTTATTCACATTTATTACATTTAATTACATTTAATTGCATCTGATTATATTTATCTTTGTAATGATTGGAATTTGAATTTTGTACTTTTATATTTGGAGTTTAAGAAACGTGTAATTATTTTTTAAATATTTGTCTTATTTTTCACTGAAATACTGGCTCAAAATGGAGATACAGGACACCCGAAGCGTATTTTTAACCCTCGGACTATGCAATCGACGTTTGTTTTTGCGACGATTCTCAGCTTTATTAGGCTATTTTTTTCCGATATATTTCCGAAGGTATTTCGTGTAGATTTTATTAGTCTTTCCTTTGTTCCTAATTTAACAGCCATTTATATCAACAGTTGAGTCGCCAAGAATTAACTAATTAGGCGACCATCTAAATATAATCTAGATAAGTGTCCTTCTCCGATCTTTTTCGTTTTCACGTATGTCGCTATATGTTAGCTTCGAAAAACTATGCGACACGTTTGCTTTTATATCGACGGTAATCCGTTTTAAAGGGGTGAAATCCGCCCCCCAAAAGTTTAACATGTAACGAGAACAATTGCAACTTGTCGTGGAATTGCGGAATTCTCAATTAATCAATACATAAAAACACGTGTTACTTAGTTTTTTGAGTACTTGAACACGTGTGAAAACGAAAAGAATTGGAGGAGGTCACTCGCCTAGTGTTCCTTGTGAGTCAAAATAGTCCGGTAACCGCAGTCCAAGGGTTAACGCTCGCATTTTGGTCATTGAAACTATATATTATATTTATTAAAAAAATAAAAAATAAATATATATATAATAATAATAATAAGTATAATATAAATATTTTTGTTTCATACATTTATTTTTAATATATATTTATTATATTGTTATATACGCATTATATATATTATATATATATATCTACTATATTAATATATATTTACATTGCTTATATATTTATTATATATATATATATATCTATTTATCTCTTTATCTATTTATCAATTTTTCGTATATATATTTTGGCCAAGAAAGGTCGCCGACGCCCGCGTCCGCGCGAACAACGCGCGCGCGCTGATCCCCGCTTCCCTAAAAGATTGCTAACTCAGCGTCGTTGTTGCAGAAGGCAGGCGGTATTGACAGTGTCGGGAGGCGGTTCGAGGCTGTCAGCAAGCGGTCCAGCATCTCCAGAGAAGCGGCGATCGTCCAACTCCGTAAACGACCTACTGGACGACGAGGACAAGCTCTTGGACGTGGTTGGTCCGGACACGCCGCACCCGGGCCATCATCAGCGCGAGCGGGAGCACTCCCGCGAAAGGGACGACAGGACCAGCGAGCGGGGCGAGGGCAGCGAGTCGTCGGGGTCCGAGAGCGGAGGCGGCCAGGGTCCGACCGGCTCGGAAGGCCCACGGCCGGAAGTGTCGGTCGGTCTTCCGTTGCATCCGCCCTTGCTGCCGTACCTGTACCCGCCCGTCACGGGCCTGTACCCCGGTCCAGGTCCTCTGATACCACCTAGCCACCTGGGCATCCACGGCGGAGTGTCGCCGGGCGCTTTGATGTTCAACGCGCAGCTGGCGCTGGCGGCGTCGCAGCACCCAGCGCTGTTCGCGCACTACCATCACCCGCTGGCGAGTCCGCTGCACCAGCTGAAGGGGCACCGTTACGCGCCGTACACGCTGCCGGCGCCGTCCCACGGGTCCGCGTTCGAGACGGTGACGCCGGGCAGCAGGACCCTGAGCCCGAGGTCCCCGCCGCCGAGGCCGCCGACCGGCTCCCCGACGCCCGCCGCCGGGCTGACCTCGACGAGCAGCTCCGCGGGCGAGCTGAAGTCGATCGAGAACATGGTGAACGGCCTCCAAGAGAAGAGGAGACGGAGCCCGAGTCTTACGTCCCCCGGGCACAGGGGGGACGCGGACGCCGGAGGGGGGAGTCCGTGACAGGAGAACGAGCCCGTGAGCAGCACGAACCCGGACGAGCCGGAAGACAAGCGGTCCGAGGAGCCTAGCGACCCCCAGGAGCTCTACGGCGACGAGAGGGAGCCGGACTCGACCTCCGAGCTGTCGTAGCGGGGCCGAGGGTCGTCGTCGGCTCGACCCGGGACCCTCTGTGCCCCATTCTGGGACGCTTCTCGCCGTCCCGGGCCCCCCCGCGTCCCTCTGGGGGACGGACGGCGACCCGGTTCAGGGACGATCCAGACTACGAAGTGCAATTTTAACAAGCGGACCGGGGCCACAGGTCCCCCGGCCGGTTTCCGGGACTCGGCGACGGGCCTGGTCCCATGTGAGTGTATATAAAGTCCGCGGGGCGGGGGGCCCGGACGCCCTGCACGGGTCGCGCGACCAGTTCGTGGTGTACATTTACGTTTGGGGCACTGTGTTTGTTCCGGATGGCTGGAGGCGAGCCTTCGGGGCCCTTCGCGTGTCGTCTCCGCCGTTCGTCGTTACCTCGGCCAGCCTCGGGCCGATTGATCGTCCTCGGACTAGATTAGATAACCGGCAGACCTTCCAGGCGATCGGAGAGAGCTCTTCTTCCTCGAGCCGGAGGACCGTTCGTTCGCGAATCCCGGCACCTAGCGAGGAAGGGTCGAAGGGTGTCGGCCCGCGACGGTTCGCGGGCCTTGGCCTAAATCCTCGATCGGAGCACCCCGCGAACGCGAGAAACACCCGAAGAAGACGCCACCGCGATTCTCAAGAAGGCCTTCTGCTGGCCTGGAAGGTCTGCCAGCGGAGTTGCTGGCAGCGTTCGCGGCGAAAGGTGCCAGATTATGCTAGAAGCGGACTAACCAAAGTCGCATGCTAGAACGTCTCTCCGACGAACCGATCGGTGTCACAGCCAGCTCCGATCCGACCAAGCTTTTCATTCCGCCGATAAGAGCACGATAGAACTTCAGGAACGGGAGAGCCTTCCCGCAAGGTCTTCCGCCTCTAGCTGCAAGCGCACCTTTCGTCGCGACGCTGGTTGCCAGGAAAACTATGGCAGAAAGGGATCGTCTTGCCCCCCGCGTCCCGTAATCGGTCCCGCAGACTAAAGTTGCTTCGAAAGATGTCGGTTGGGCCTGTTTGGGTCCGCGTGCTGACGCGCGACGACGTAGACGCGCGACGACTTCAGCTTGTCGCTAGAGGACGCGTTTTCTCTCATCGTTTAGGAGACTCCTTTCTGCCATAGTCGTCCCGGGGGATGCTGATCGCGAGTGAAATGGGGCTGTCCCAATTGTCCCGGGCGCAGCCGACAGCGTCGCGCGCGCACGCGCCCGCGCGCTCTCTTCGAAATCGGTTCGAGATCGCCGGCGATACTCGAAGCGCGTCTCGAGGCCGTGCCATCGGCGTCGGCTCGAGCGGGGAACGTGGTCGTCGAGCCGTCGAGGCTGCGATCCGGCCCGCGTGCGTGCGTTCTAGGTCTAAGAAGAGGGAGACATTGCAATACGAGAGCACCTCCTACTATTCGCAGCCCCTGTACATATGTACCCTAGTGATATTATATATTATATATTATATATATATATATACATATTATATATATAAATAACTACTCTCTGTATTAATTATTGAATATAATATTATATTAATTATATTAGAGAGTCGTAAAAAAATGAGAAAGACGCATTAAACGCACGTTTGCCCGAGCGGCAGAGCTCGGTGGAACAGCGCGGACGATACGCTGACGGGCGCGATGGAATCGGAACCCGGTTCGCGGTACTCGGTTTTCTATGTTATTAACGGAAAGGGAGGAGAAAAAGGAGAAAAAAAAAGGAAGGAATGGTCGAGCGTCGTCGTTCTCCGGGATTCGCGGGCGACCGGCACGCCGGCATTGACGCGTTCGCCGCGTCAGGCGACACGGCCGATCTCTGCTCGAGGAGGACCGCTCTGTCGATCCCGACCCCTCAGTCCTCACCATTCATCCCCATTGGCCCTGTATTTGTATAAAATTTAGCGATCGGTGTAGATAATTGCGGAGAACGGGCCGAAGCACGGAGCGATCGGCTTTCGGGGGATCATCGAACGATCGACCAGCGACGGAGAGATCCGAAGAAATCCGAAGAAATCCGAAGAGATGCGAGGAGATGTCGGCGAGATTCGGCCGCGAGGAGGCCTTCGCGACCCCGAAGGCCGGGGATGCCGCGCCCTGCTACTCGGCTCACCCTCTGTTCCCCCGCGTTCCCGCGATTAACCCTTTGAACGTTGGCGGCTTCGAATCTTCGCGCTGATTCCGACTCGCGCAGGGGAGAAGCGCGACACACCGCTCCCTTCGGCGGGCTCGCGTCACCGTTCGCGGTTGTACAATTGTATTTTTATAAATTTTCGAACGCGCGGGGAGCACCCACCCCGCTCGCAGGCGCACCGTTCTCAGTTTCCCTGCTGCGCCGAAGCGCCGCGCGACGAGCATCGTAAGCGGAATTGTAACTCTTTCACTCACACACTTTCTCTCTCTCTCTCTCTCTCTCTCTCTCTCGTCTCCGGTCGGCTCGAAACGCAGCAACGAATTTTTACTTTTCGACCGTGCCTCCCTTAACCACCCCCCTCCCCCGCCCCTCGTTGACGCTCCTCCCGTGTACATGTCGACGCCCGCACCGTGTTTTGTAATGTTTAATACGCAACATTGTACAGAATACGAAATTGTAAACGGCCGCAAGAACCCCCTCTCCCCCCTGCCCCAAGAGCCCGTCACGACAAAAGGAAACCGTAACGTAGCGTGACGTCGCGTTCCCGTTTCTTTCCTCTCACGTTTCTTTCCCCGCCTCCTCTCGTTCAATTTCAGTTGTAGAGTAACTCGTGATACCTTCGACACTGTCAATTTTATTGTATAAATATGTGAATACATACGAGCTATATCTGTTCCTACTTATTTTTTCTCTCCTGTTCGATCGACACGCTCTACTTTCGACCAGTTATACGAACTGTCGTCGCCGATGATTCTCCTATTACTTTCGACACGTCTTTTTTCCTATTTAAAATTTTAAATAAATACGATGTCTGTTAAACTACTCCCCGGTATATTCTTTGTTTGCCCGTTTCGCACGCGTACCCTCTCGCCTCCCGCACCCAAGACGACATTCACCCATGCGCCGAGTGAGAACGCGGCTCCGCGACGCCGATCGGCGACGCGCCTCGTCGATCGTAAGTGTTTTTGTAATGCAGTCGAAACCGAGACGGTTCGGTGAAGTCCAAGTACAAAGGGTTAAGGGCGGTGAACTTCGTCGGAACCGCTGCCGCCGGCTTTTAGCTTCGTTCCCGAGGCTAGAAGTCGAGCAAGGATTTTTGGAAGGCCGTGCGATTTTTAGGCCGCGAGAGAACGAGAGGCGGCGAGAACCGTTCGAAAACTGGCGGAGAAATGCCAGGGGATTCCAAAGGAACGGTGAATGTTTGGAAGAAGGCGAAGCAATTCGAGTGCAGCTTGTGCAAGCTTGCCAGGAAATGTCTCGCAGCGGGTGCAGTGGGAGACGTTTGGTAGTGCAGAAATTATGTATCGAGTGGCCTATTGTATTGAGTTCATTTTTAGCTGATTTCAAAATTTTAGTTTGTTTTATTGAGGTTTAGTTTACTTTGCAAATTTGTGCTTTACTTTACCAACTTTTACTTTATTTTTACTTTACTTTACTTCACAAATTTGTGCTTTACTTTACTAATTTTTACTTTACTTTACCAACTTGTACTNCGGTCGGCTCGAAACGCAGCAACGAATTTTTACTTTTCGACCGTGCCTCCCTTAACCACCCCCCTCCCCCGCCCCTCGTTGACGCTCCTCCCGTGTACATGTCGACGCCCGCACCGTGTTTTGTAATGTTTAATACGCAACATTGTACAGAATACGAAATTGTAAACGGCCGCAAGAACCCCCTCTCCCCCCTGCCCCAAGAGCCCGTCACGACAAAAGGAAACCGTAACGTAGCGTGACGTCGCGTTCCCGTTTCTTTCCTCTCACGTTTCTTTCCCCGCCTCCTCTCGTTCAATTTCAGTTGTAGAGTAACTCGTGATACCTTCGACACTGTCAATTTTATTGTATAAATATGTGAATACATACGAGCTATATCTGTTCCTACTTATTTTTTCTCTCCTGTTCGATCGACACGCTCTACTTTCGACCAGTTATACGAACTGTCGTCGCCGATGATTCTCCTATTACTTTCGACACGTCTTTTTTCCTATTTAAAATTTTAAATAAATACGATGTCTGTTAAACTACTCCCCGGTATATTCTTTGTTTGCCCGTTTCGCACGCGTACCCTCTCGCCTCCCGCACCCAAGACGACATTCACCCATGCGCCGAGTGAGAACGCGGCTCCGCGACGCCGATCGGCGACGCGCCTCGTCGATCGTAAGTGTTTTTGTAATGCAGTCGAAACCGAGACGGTTCGGTGAAGTCCAAGTACAAAGGGTTAAGGGCGGTGAACTTCGTCGGAACCGCTGCCGCCGGCTTTTAGCTTCGTTCCCGAGGCTAGAAGTCGAGCAAGGATTTTTGGAAGGCCGTGCGATTTTTAGGCCGCGAGAGAACGAGAGGCGGCGAGAACCGTTCGAAAACTGGCGGAGAAATGCCAGGGGATTCCAAAGGAACGGTGAATGTTTGGAAGAAGGCGAAGCAATTCGAGTGCAGCTTGTGCAAGCTTGCCAGGAAATGTCTCGCAGCGGGTGCAGTGGGAGACGTTTGGTAGTGCAGAAATTATGTATCGAGTGGCCTATTGTATTGAGTTCATTTTTAGCTGATTTCAAAATTTTAGTTTGTTTTATTGAGGTTTAGTTTACTTTGCAAATTTGTGCTTTACTTTACCAACTTTTACTTTATTTTTACTTTACTTTACTTCACAAATTTGTGCTTTACTTTACTAATTTTTACTTTACTTTACCAACTTGTACTTTACTTTACCAACTTTTACTTTACTTCGCCAACTGTTACTCTACTTCACATATTTGTGCTTTACTTTACCAACTTTTACTTTACTTTACTAACTTGCGCTTTACTTTACCAACTTGTGCTTTACTTTACCAATTTTTACCTTACTTTGCCAACTGTTACTTTACTTCACAAATTTGTGCTTTACTTTACCAACTTTTACTTTACTTTACTAACTTCTACTTTACTTTACAAACTTGTGTTTTACTTTACCAATTGTTACTTTACTTTACTTCACAAATTTCTGCTTTACTTTACCAATTTTTCCTTTACTTTACAAATTTGTGCTTTACTTTACCAATTTTTACTTTACTTCACAAACTTGTGCTTTACTTTACCAACTGTTACTTTACTTCACTAACTTCCACTTTACTGCACAAACTTGTGCTTTACTTTACCAATTTTTACTTTACTTTACCAACTTTCACTTCACCTCACTTTTACTTCGCCGCATTACTTTACTATCTTTTACTTTACTTTACAAAATGCTTTACTTTACAAACTTTTGCTTTATATTACAACTACCACTCTGTTTTTCTACATTCAATCAATATATCTTAAATGTACAAATCATTTGATTAAAAGATAATCTCAAATGTACGACCATTTCATCAAAAGACATTTCATTAAAATAAATCAACCCTAAAACTAAACCAACCTAACACAATACAATAAAAATACCTTTTTACATAGAACACTCGGTATGATCCCCCCACCACCGAATATCTACCACTGCGCCAAGCGTGCGCGATTTTCTGGCAAGTCTGCGCCTATGTTCCGCGGCCAGGGCCGCGGCAGGGAGGACCGGAGCCCTCGAGACGCTCGTTCTCTGCCAACTAATTTTCTTCGGGCAGGAAAAGCAGGTGAACGCGAGCCGACGGGAAAGCAATAAAACAAAGGAGAGCGGCACGCGAGAAAAATCGAGAAACGTTCGACGCCGTCACGTGAACCGGTGATGTGTTCCGTGGCTTGTATTGTATATTGTACACCTACCAAACCTCTCTTGCCCCCTCCCCGATATCCCCGAGAAACCATCCTCCCGAACTCGTGCGATTAAGAATTCTATATGTATATATAAATACATACATACATACATACATACATTAATTTAAAAAATACAAGCATGCTGTTTGTTTTCTGGCTCCCCGGCGATCACGAGACGAGCTCGTTCGTCGATCCCCGATCCTGCGGCTCGCGCTTGGCAGCCCCTTTCGCGAGAGCGTGGCCGTCGTTAACTCTGGAATTTCGCCGGCCGACAATCTCGTGCGACGAGATCACATCTCGTCCAATTTTCCCCGAGCCGATATTTTTATTAATTAAGGGCCAGCGGGGACGCCAGGTGCGAACCGCGCCTCTCGGCGAACTCGAAGTTAACGAGACAGGGAACACCGTCTGTCTCCGGCGACCTTCCGATTCACTACAGGCCGCCCAACGGATCGCGGTCGGCCAAAACCCGTTCCTGCTATCGGCCGATCGTTATCATCGTTCATCGGCTGCGGCAGCAAACGAACCACCGTTTCTCGGCCGGACCACGGATTCCGTTCGGAGGAAATTGATTTTCCGTTCCGAGAACGCGGCCCGTACGAACGCTTCGTCTGGTCTCGAACAGTTCTTTTTACAATCGACGGCCAACAACGGTTCGGAATTCGTCGAAAAATTCTTCGGAAATAATAATAATAATCATCGCGTTCTCAAGAGGAGATATTGTTCAGATTATTGTTTTGGGTTAATATCGTGGAACGAAGGTCTGTCGCAGTTGTTATTTGAAGAAAAATCATCGAGCTTGTCTTGTAGACACGATTCGGTTATCGAGGAACGGTATTAATTGGCTACAGGTAAAACAAGTTTTAAGATCGAACTGAAATTCTGCGTGTTTCTTTGATTTCTTGAGTTCCGTTCGTAGGCTGGATTCATTCGTTGCTCATTTGGCATAGTGTTTACGGTCACGGATGATATGATCTGTTCCATAGATCGGTGCACAATCTGTTCCACAGATCGGTTTATAATCTGTTCCATAGATCGGTGTATAATTCGTTCCATTGACCGGCGCATAAACTGTTCCATAAATCGGTCTATAATCTGTTCCATGGATCGGTGCATAATCTGTTCCATAGATCGGGGCATATTTCGTTCCATAAATCGGTCCATAATCTGTTCCTTAAATCGGTTTATAATCCGTTCCATAGATCGGTGCATAATCCGTTGCATAAATCGGTGTATAATCTGTTCCATAAATCGGTGCATAATCCGTTCCATATATCGGGGCATATTTCGTTTCATAGTTCGGTACATAACTCATTCCACAGATCGGTGCATTTCTGTTCCATAAATCGGTTTATAATCCGTTCCATAGATCGGTGCATAATCCGTTGCATAAATCGGTGTATAATCTGTTCCATAGTTCGGTACATAACTCATTCCACAGATCGGTGCATTTCTGTTCCATAAATCGGTTTATAATCCGTTCCATAGATCGGTGCATAATCCGTTGCATAAATCGGTGTATAATCTGTTCCATAGTTCGGTACATAACTCATTCCACAGATCGGTGCATTTCTGTTCCATAAATCGGTTTATAATCTGTTCCATAGATCGGTGCATAATCCGTTNACTGAAATTCTGCGTGTTTCTTTGATTTCTTGAGTTCCGTTCGTAGGCTGGATTCATTCGTTGCTCATTTGGCATAGTGTTTACGGTCACGGATGATATGATCTGTTCCATAGATCGGTGCACAATCTGTTCCACAGATCGGTTTATAATCTGTTCCATAGATCGGTGTATAATTCGTTCCATTGACCGGCGCATAAACTGTTCCATAAATCGGTCTATAATCTGTTCCATGGATCGGTGCATAATCTGTTCCATAGATCGGGGCATATTTCGTTCCATAAATCGGTCCATAATCTGTTCCTTAAATCGGTTTATAATCCGTTCCATAGATCGGTGCATAATCCGTTGCATAAATCGGTGTATAATCTGTTCCATAAATCGGTGCATAATCCGTTCCATATATCGGGGCATATTTCGTTTCATAGTTCGGTACATAACTCATTCCACAGATCGGTGCATTTCTGTTCCATAAATCGGTTTATAATC